ATGCAAGTCTAAACTATCAAACTAACAAAGCAAGTAAACTGTTGTATTCAGGTTAAAGAGGTCACTCGGATATGGTTCCCCATAGACTGTAGTTAAGCCGGATTGTAATTACCAAGTTCAGTTTCTATGACAGTTATACTGCGAAAGGTTCTTAAACAGCCTGAAGTCTCGACTAAAGGTCTTCAGACCCTCTCAATCTGACTCTCTAGCGGGCGACTAACCTCCACCGGAGTCGACAGATTGAGTCCCTAAGAACAAAACCTCCACTACCGGAGTAAATCCGGTACAGAATAGTGAGTTGGTTCCTCGACTAAAGTCACCAACTCCCTACCTTCAATCAAGGATACTCTATTAACCTAGGCATATATTCTCATTCTAGGTTAAAGCAGAAACAACAGGAATTTGATCAGGATTCAAGTCATTCAATCATTTAAACCTCAATCGAATATAATCAATCATAGAATCAGTACTTGGGTTCATACAATCAAAGCCTAACATACAAATCTAGGGTTCTCCATACCCAGATGAATGGGAGAACTACTCCATAGAGAAGAAAGCAAAAGCAGAATCAGACACGGAATTCATACTGCAAAGGATGGATTCCTGCTTCTGGACGTTGATTGGCACTTCTCCAAGCTCAAGCTGGCCTCCAATGGTGTTGAAGATCAATCTAGGGTACTTGGGAACTCTTGCTCGTCACTTTCTCTCTCTAGAAGTCGTTCTCTCTCTCAAAAACTCGAATCCCCTTGAATTGTGGCTGAAACTCTGCTTAAAAGCACCAGTGGCCAAAGCACGGTCGAGGGCACGGCCATGCTTTGCCTGAGCCCGCCCGTGCCTCGGCCAGGCTTAATTACACGGCCAGCAGTTGGGAGAAACACGGTCGTGCTTCGCGTTGGACACGGCCGTGCTTTGACTGAACACGGCCGTGCTTCGGTGCCCGTGTTTGCAGCTGAATTGGCAAAACTGAATTTGCTCTCGGCATAAAAAGCACGGCCAGCAGTACACGGCCGTGTAATGCCTTAGGTGTGCCCGTGTTTTGGCCCCAGCTTGACGAAATGACCTCCGAATGCCCCGAAACTCGTGGTCAGCCTTCCCTTTGACGCCTGGGACCTGAAATATGACAAAATAACACAACCCGGCGTAAAATAGGCCAAAACACACGACTATACTCCTCAAACGGATAAGAACTAGGGGCGCAAACATGTGCATTTACATCGTTATCACACATGCATTCACCGAAACCTGTGAATTATCATCAATCCTTTCCTGTATAACGACTGCTTATGTTACCTTTTACAAAGTGTACATGTAGTATACCATTTTTCGGTATTGGTATGTAAATCAACCAAACATCTATACATGCATCTACATAACAAAAGAGTAATTGCCTAAAATTTAAACCATCAACCATTTGCAGAATTATATCTCTATGTTCATATATGGTCACTATCCTCCAAAAATGATTTAATATAGACTAGAAATGATTTTTGATTAATTTTGTATGTTTCTTTCTGCGGAGAAGTCAATTTTGAACACATTAAGCCTATGAAGACATCACTACAATAGTTCAATTATGCGTAAATGACATTTTGACAGCAGATTTCCCCCATTAGCAAAAGCACCATTCATTCCATCAGAGAACTGTCAATGCTGCTCCAGCTCATCGCCTTAGCATCTACCACGCCAAAATAAGAGAGACCATTCATATAGTTCCTGATAAGCCTAACAATGCTTTCCAGATAATGCTGGGGTCATCAACACTAAAATTCTACAACAGCTTAATCTGCCCTTGTTATAGTCGCCATGTTCATCACCTATAACACTTTACTCTCTAAACCTGCAATCCTTTAGCTTGAACAGCAACCCTAACCACACAAATTCTAACCACGACTAAGCTCAACCCTATTCGCTAAGCATTCGCAACTTATCACAAAAGTTCAGAGAAGTTACAATGAGGAACTCCTAAACCTATGCAAACTCCACCGTAAAGTAAAACGAGAGGCACTCTTGTGAATGACAAAATATACCCGGTGAAAGTCACCCGAACCGGCATTGGCCCTGTATACTCAACGATTGCATTTGATCCCGCGGACGTGGGTAGGGTACGCGGCGGAACTGCTGGTAGCCTTGGATTATCTGCTGTCGCCGCTGATACTAACCGCAAGTCCCCGTCGTTTGAATTCTGCTTCTTCTTTCCTTGTCGCGTAGTCGACCTCCATCCTAGCAACCCGATCTTGCTCTTTCCGCCTCATTTGCCGATACTGTTTGTTAAAAACCAAGTAGATGTGAGATGAATATATGAGGACTTCAATGCAGCCATAACATTGATTTGTGTACTATGAAACTCAAAACTTTTTAGACTGCTAGTTTTAGCAGCTATATTAGTTGCTCATACCAAAACACAATAGATCACGGTTATGCCCATACCAATTTCCTAGAGGTTCCGCATTCGTTGAAAGCACCAGGATCACCATTTTCGGAAGCACACTCACAAGAGATTAGATGTTCAATGCAGTAGTAAGGTACGAAGGATAACTCAAGAACCAAATATTATGTGTAGATAACAACAAGAACCTATGGAAGCTGAATGGATAGATAAAATGCAGAGTTAAGACCACACAAAATAGGCTGAAGAAGATCATCGTACCATACACAGATAGAGAACCTGGACCCTAGTGAAATTAAGTTCAAAGAGGCTGAATAATGATGTTGAAATAAAACATCACTACCAGAAGCCAAAGAAGTAATGCTAATAGTACAAACAGAAAGACCTCCACCCACCACCATACATGTAGGAAGAGATCTTCTTTAAGTTCATTACAATGTTATTAAACTAGAAATGATTTTTGATTAATTTTGTATGTTTCTTTCAGCTGAGAAATCAATTTTCAACACATTAAGCCTATGAAGACATCACTACAATAGTTCAATTATGCGTAAACGACATTTCGACAGCAGATTTCCCCCCTTAGGAAAAGCACCATTCATTCAATCAGAGAACTGTCAATGCTGCTCCAGCTCATCGCCTTAGCATCTACCATGCCAAAATAAGAGAGACCATTCATATAGTTCTAGATAAGCCTAACAATGCTTTCCGGATAATGCTTGCGGTCGTGAACACTAAAATTTTACAACAACTTAATCTTCCCTTGTTATAGTCGCCATGTTCATCACCTATAACACTTTACTCTCTGAACCTGCAATCCTTTAGCTTGAACAGCAACCCTAACCCCACAAATTCTAACAAATACTAATCCCAATCCTATTCACTATGCATTCACAACTTATCACAAAAGTTCAGAGAAGTTACAATGAGGAACTGCTAAACCTATGCAAACTCCACCGTAAAGTAAAATGAGAGGCACTCTTGTGAATGACGCAAGTCGCAATACCTGGTGAAACTCTCGACTCCGCTCGATTGCCGTAGCACGACCCGCAAATCCCGTCAATCTCATAAATTATTCGCTGCACCGCCTCCCCTTGCAGGGCTTCCTTACCTGCGACAAATCAAGCTAAAAAACCCTAAGTTTAGAGAGATAAATCGGCTTGATAGGAGAATCGGGATAGGAGATGGCGTTGAATTGAAGTCCCTCGCTTCTGATGCAGATGCATGTGGCCTTGGGGGAAGAAAACCAGGGGCGTTTAATTGAACTCCCTCACTTCTCCCAAACTCCAAGCTGTCGATCATCACCATCATTGGAGCCCACCGTCACCTTATCAGTCTCTTCTTCTTCTTCTTCTTCTTCTTCTTCTTCTTCTTCTTCTTCTTCTTCCACCACCTACGGATCCTAACCCTCTCTTTCCGTCCTCTATAAATGCTCATTTCCTACAATTGCATCGACAAGGTCATTTTTGGCGAGAGAGTAGGAGAGGCCAACGGCGATTAGAAGACTTCGGGTTAATCGGAGATATGAAGGTGAAAGGGGATAGGGGATGGAGTTTGCTGAAAATGGAGGAGCATGGACACGAAAGGATAAGAGGAAGAAGGTGAAATGGTTTGTGGGATCTTTTTAGAAAAGGAAATGAATAAAATGTTGGTGACATTCAATATTTTAGTTATGCATTTTGAAAGAAGAAACAAAAATAATTGTACTATTTATTATTGATAAGAAATTTGGGTGTTATAAATTATGAATGGCAAAAAGAAGGTACTATAAATGTTCAATTGAAAATTTACATGATTGATTTAAGCAGAAAGACGGCAAAATATTATTTGGGATTAAATAGTATTCCGAAATAAATTTATAGGTATGCTGGTAATGTTTATTATTCTTAAATAATTACTTAATTATAACTAATTAAAAATCCTACATATATATATATATGAATGTTCACGAAGAAAAATCCTACACTAACTTCAGCCGCAGCCGAGACAACAACAACAACTCCACCACCCTACGCCGTCCTCTACACCACGCACACCAATCCATCACCATTATTGCTACTCCGGCCGGCCACCATCGACCCTTTTCGTGCCGTCTTTCACCCCGAGTACACCATAACACAACCATCAACGTTTTCATCATGAACAGGGAGAACCTAGGAGATGCTGTAGTGTTACGTTTTAGTTGTTGGTTTTGGATTTGTTTAATTTCCAATAATATTTTAGCTTGTTTTAGCTGTTTAGTTAGCCACGATTCCCACTTTTTGAACGTGGAGTAGGATTAGGGAATTAGTTAGTTCTAGTTCAGCATTTAGGTTGTAATCGTTGAGTTGAGAGGACCAGGGAAATAAGATTATTGATTTGGAGGCTTGAGCCTGTTATCCTCTCCCTACTTCTTCTCCCTTCTTCCCCTCTTTCTACGTTCTCTTTCTAAACTCTACCTTCTACCATTATCTTCCCTTCCCTTCTCTGTTTCTAACTCTCTGTTCCATTATTCACTTCCTCTTCTTTTTCCCTTCTTAATCACCGAACCCACTTCCCTCTTCTTACTTCTCTACAAACCCTATTCTTGTTCCGCTAGAACCATAGCTCCCAAACGAGTTAAAGGGCCTTTGCCGTTACCTAGTCCTTGGCCGGGAATTGATAGATCGATTACAAGGTCCTACACAAAATAACAAAACATCGTGGTATCAGAGCCGACTGATCCGACAACTATGGAGTCTAAAGTGGAACAACTTGAAGCTATGCTAATGCAGGAGATGCAATTGAACGTAGCGGCGAGGCAAGAGTTGCGAAGGGAAAATGTAGAGGCCAGAGTTGCACAACTTGAAAGTCTGCTCAGGCAGGAGATGGAATTGAACAGAGCGGCGAGGCAAGAACTACGCCAGGAAAACCAAGAGAACTTCGCTGCCACAAATGCACTTCTTGACCAGCTGTTCGCACCTCCACAGGGGGAGGAGGAACCTCGTTTCTAGGTCAACAATTGCGGTCCTAGGGTTCGACGTCAAGACAACCAGTAAGGTAATCCTAGAATCAAAATTGATTTTCCACGATTTTTGGGAGATGAAGATCCTACTGTGTGGGTATGTCGAGCTGAGCAGTTCTTCACCTACTAGCAAGCCCCGGAAGAAGAGAAGGTGTTATTGGCGTCAATCAATATGGAGGGAGATGCACAATTGTGGTTGCAGGTTTTGAAGGATAGCCTGTAAGAACTCTCCTGGGAAGAGCTTAAGGCAGGCCTCTATACTCGCTATGGGCCAACTCAGTTCGAGGATTTCTTCGGAGAACTAACCAAGCTTCAACAAACCGGCACTGTGAGGGAATATCAAACGCAGTTTGAGAAGTTCCTCATTCATGCAAGCAATTTGGCTCCGGCTCAGCAAGTTAGCTGCTTCATCAGTGGACCACGCTTCGGGTTGATGTCCAGGCTTGCAAACCTCTTACATTAACAGCCGCAATTGGCCTTGCAAGGTTAAACGAAGCAAAGGAAGTTCAGTTCAGGTCATCGGAGGGTTGGCAGCTGCTGCCGCTAGTTGTACTGTCAATGTGCGGCCATTCGAAGGTGTTCGTATGCCTGTGCCGATTAAGAAGTTGGGCCCTGCTGAGGTGAATGAGCGACGAAGGAAGGGCCTTTGCTTCAACGACAATGAAACCTACCATCCAGGGCATTAATGCAAGAAGCTATTCATGTTAGAAGCTATCGAAAAGGGTGAAAACCATGAGGTTGACATGGAGCTTGAAGAAACTTGATTCTTGAGGTCAAGAATCCTCTGTAAGGGGGAAGGAATGTTACGTTTTAGTTGTTGGTTTTGGATTTGTTTAATTTCCAATAATATTTTAGCTTGTTTTAGCTGTTTAGTTAGCCACGATTCCCACTTTCTGAACGTGGAGTAGGATTATTAGTTAGTTCTGGTTCAGCATTTAAGTTGTAATCGTTGGGTTGACAGGAACAGAGAATATGATTATTGATTTGGAGGCTTGAGCCTATTATCCTCTCCCTACTTCTTCTCCCTTCTTCCCCTCTTTCTACGTTCTCTTTCTAAACTCTACCTTCTGCCATTATCTTCCCTTCCCTTCTTTTTTTCTAGGGTTAATACCTTATTATGGCCTGAACTATGACCATGTAATCAACTTTGGCCCGTGGTTTGAGAAATTAACATCATGGCCTAAACTATGCAGCATGTAGACAGAATTAGCCTGGAGCGTGGTTTGACTGTTTGTTTGGTGTTGACCGTTAGTCAACTGTCCAGGTCACTGCCATGTCAGCAAAAAAAATTATAATTTCAATTTTCTTTTTATTTCCTTTATAAAATTGAATAATAAAGAAAAAAATTATAATTTCATTTTTCTTTTTATTTCTTTTATAAAATTGAATAATAAAAGAAAAAATAAAAAAAATTCGGCCACCCATCCCCACCTTATCCCCTCGCCTTCTTTCCTTTTCGATCATATCCCAAAAAAACCCTAACCATTTTTTTTCCAACCATTGCCCCTCGTATCCACTGCATCGCCACCAACGTTATCTTCCTCATATCCCCGACCAGAATCTAGGCCCAGAGTCATCCTTCCCAAAGATAACCTCGTCGACCTAACGGAGTCGATTTCACCAAACTCTACCTTCTGTCATTATCTTCCCTTTCCCTTCTTTGTTTCTAACTCTCTGTTCCTTTATTCACTTCCTCTTCTTTTTCCCTTCTTAATCACCGAACCCACTTCCCTCTTCTTACTTCTCTACAAACCCTATTCTTGTTCCGCTAGAACAATAGCTCCCAAATGAGACAAAGGGCTTTTGCCGTTACCTAGTCCTTGGCCGGAAATTGATAGATCGATTACAAGGTCCTACGCGAAAACACACAACATCGTTGCGACCTGAATTGTAGAAAGAAGAACGAAAGAGGTAGTTGAGGCCAAACTCCATGGTGACTAGCAGCGGTTGGTTGGTGTTGATCGATACATCGGAATCAATAATCAAAAATTGGAGATACAATGGGTTGAGGTTGAGGCTACGAAGTACAACGAACCAGGCAGCCATCAGCCCTGGAACGATCAGAAGCATTTGGGATTCAGAAATGGACCAAATGAAGCTTGACAGAAGCTGAGATCAACTCATGAGGTAAGGAAAACCCTCACGTAGCAGGTCATTTGTTTTGATGGGTGATGCAATTATCAAACACTGCGAGATGCTTCATTATTATTCCAAGGGATGATTCTCGTAGAAGGAAGAGTTTTGGTTGGCAATGATTACTTCATAAATAGAACTTTTGTCCTGCATGAACTGGGAAGGAAACTTGGCAATTGGAATGCTTAGGTATATATCAATTATATCAATTATATAAGGCACTTTCCAAACTAAAATTCATGATTCTGAGTAAATCATGTGTTGGTGTCCCTAGTTTGATTGTCTAAAAACCATGGGGGTAATTGGATCGACGACTTCTACTTGAATAATGGTCAAAACATGAGGGATACAAAGAGCAAGTCGATCGGACGCACGAGACTAGAGTATCGACTACTTAGTAAGGTGAATGTAAAGGAGTAAATTTTATGCCTTACGTGATCTTTCAAGTATTACGGTCATTAAGTATTTTAATGAAGTGACTATCGTTGTTTGATTATGCTTATGATTGATGATATTTGTTTTGTTTGAGCTATGTTTGAAGTGAATATGTATAAGTTATTATTTACTTTAAAACTTTACATTTAGGAGTTATTATTAAAGTTTAAGAGACAAGTTCTTTTTTGGAAGTGCTTCACCCTCAAGAAGATGAAATTGTTTTAAGAGTTTTTAGTCACTAGCGTCAGTCCGTTGCCGTTGAGATTTGGAGATAGAGCAGTAGTATGATCTTGAGACTTTTAAGATGAGCAGTAGTTATGCTCTTGAGATATTTTAAGATGAGCAGCAGTTATGCTCTTGAGAATCGTTGATTTGGGCCCAAATGTACACATTTTATCCCTCATTTCATATTCGTTTAGCTTAGTATTTCATCGTTCCTCGACAAATTTCACGCTAGGTTGTGCTTTTTTATACATTTCGGGTCCTAGCATGTGTGGAAGGGTCGAGGACGAGCTTTGGGATTATTGGAGGTCAAAAAGCGCAAAAACCGAGGAAAAGTCTGAAGTGATAATTGCCCCGTAATAGTGAAGTGCAGGCGTCCAGGAAATAGCCGCAGTTCACGGTCAGCTAAGACTGTGAAGAGGATTCATGGGCCGTGAACATCAAGGCGTCCAGAGCACTTACCAAAGTTACTGACGCCAGGCGAGTTCACGGTCTCTTAGACCGTGAACTAGTGCCATTGACCGTGAACCCAGGAGAGTGAAGTGGCGCGTTTTGGACGACATTGATCGTGAACCCAGAAAATAAAAAAAGGAAGAAAAAAAAACAATAATAGGGCAAAGGAGAAAACAGAGAGGCCACAAAAAATATAATAAATGTGGAACATGGTCTTAGAAGTGTTGATTAGCATGCATGCTATATGAACACTTACATGTTGTTTGCCTACCACACTCTTGTGCTTGAAATTGAATAGAAAATGTAGCAAGAAAGGATGTGTGTCATGGTTTGGTGATTGGTTTTAGTTTGGAATTTGGGGGAAGTGCGGTTTTTGGCCGAAACTAATGGCCATTGCTTGTACAAGAAGGTTCTATTCGAAACCATAGAACCTTAATTTGGTTTTAGGGCGAAGATGTGGAACCTCATGTTATGTTTGCCACCACCCAAAAAGCTTTTCCCCATGTCCCTGTCCTATGAATCTGTGTCTAAGACCTCCGGACAAGCTAGCAACACCCATCTTGTGAGCTCTAGCATTTAGAGGCTACCATTATGGTAAAGGGACATTAGGATTGAGCGTGAATGTGCACATCTTTTGCATCAAATGGTCCCGACCCCACTGGTCGAGAGTAAGTGATTCATTCATCATGTTTTGTTCATTTCTTTTACCCCGATGAGGACCTAGGTTGCTCGATCGTTCATTCCTATGATGTGATCTTCATGCAGGAGTAACTATGATTGCTGAGTCGTCGAGGCATGTTGTGTGTGTGTTCGTGAATACTGTGAGAACTCTTTGTTTGTACAATCTTAATATAAGTGAATGTCATTTGTGATGGTTGCCAAGATTACTTTGTTTTTTTCCATAGGTCGGTTTCAAATAACCATTGTGATTCATTCGTTTTGTGCCCTATGACATGCCCCAAAAATTGTGTTGAAAAAGAAGTTGTAAGCTTACGTCTAAGTGTGGGGAGTGATTCGGGCCCAAATGTACATATTTTACCCCTCATATCTTATTCGTTTAGCTTAGTATTTCATCATTCCTCGACATATTTCACGCTAGGTTGTGCTTGTTTTGATACATTTCAGGTCCTAGCACGTGTGGAAGGGTCGGGGACGAGTTTTGGGATAATTAGAGGTCAAAAAGCGCAGAAACAGAAGAAAAGTCCAAAGTGACAATTGTTCCTTAACAGTGAAGTGAAGGCGCCCTAGGAAACAGCCGCAGTTCACGGTCTGCTAAGACCGTGAAGAGGAGTCATGGGCCGTGAACATCAAGGCGTCCAGGGCACTTACCTAAGTTACTGATGCCAGGCGAGTTCACGGTCTCTAAGAACGTGAACTGGGGCCATTGACCGTGAACCCAGGAGAGATGAAGTGGTGTGTTTTGGACGACATTGAGTTCACGGACGCGTTTAGGTGTTCATTGCCGTGAACTGGCCAACGCGTCCGTGAACTAATAACTTTCGGGCAAATATGAAGACAACAGCGGGGAGAAAGAAAGGAGAGCTGGATTTTTGGAGATAAGTTCAATTCCCTCTGTAGGTTTTTTCCCAAAAACACCAATGGGGAGTTCTAGTGAGAGAGAGAGAGTGCTAGAGTGATCTTGGAGCATCATTGGAGGCTTGGGTGGATCTTGAAGACAAGGATTCAAGCCTAGAATAAAAAGAAGAGGATTTTGAGTATTAGAAGTGTCTTCATGGTGATTGTGCTTAGTTGTGATTTCCAAATCTTTTGTGCTTGCCTAACCTAGATTAGAGGAAAACCACACCTTCTTAGGTAGCCTTGA